TTTTCGGGTTCCTACGTGTCAATACTATTCATATCTCATAATCAGATAAAATTTTCAATTTCAAATTTCAGATAAATTTTAAAAAAATGGCTGGTATTTATAGAAAAAAATTCATTAATTTTTGGGTATTTTTTAAAAAAATTTCCGAATTTTTTTCAGTATTTTATTGCAAAAAAATTGGCTGCCGTTGAATTGGAGGAAAAACTCATATCGGAGAGCCCAGACGATGCCACGTGGCAACAAGAAAAAAAAACCAAATTAGTGGGGGTACTGTAGCGTTGACGTCAGCAGCCATCGTTTTGGACCTCGGGCTGAAGCTGCCTTCGGGCCAGCCCGAGTTGGTGGGTCCCATACCTCCCCCGGGCCTAGGCTGTCCGCTGGAATCACTCTAAATATTAGGCTCTCATTATAGACAAATGGGCTTAAGAAAAAGAGCAAAATTCAAGCATTTTGCAAACCAGAAAAACTTTCTAACCAAAGCAAACATCAAACATTGAAATACTGTCATGTTCTTCATTAATTTCATGAAGAATCACCAAACACAAATGTGTGTCAATTCCTTCAATTCAAAAAGCCGAATATTACTCACCCATATTGTCCCAATTTTTACTAAATTAAGCATGGACGACCCTTGACCAAAAAAGCTCAAAAAACTACTCGCACTATTCTATCCACATCCAACACCATCAATCCCCTCTTCACACCCACCAAAACAAGGCACTCATCTCTCCCTCCATTAAACACAAAAAGAGTGTCTACTCTCCCTCACCACAAGTAGTAGTACAAGTTCATTAGTTAAACAAATGTCTCTGATCTCCCAACCACCCCCACCCTAACCACGATACCAATCACCATTTCCTACCCATCTCAATCTCTCCTACTCAATCCCCTTCCCCTAGTCTTCGATCCCCAATATTATTTTCAATGATTTTGTAAATTACTAAATGTGTGAGGTGAGGTCGAGTTGAAAAGAATTAAAAAAAAATAAATTGAGAGATTATATATTGAAGTCTTATGTCATATGGATGGCAGTGAGGCAAATAAATAGGGATGAGTATGCCGTTCCCATCCCCATCCCTACCTTCATATCTGTAATATTTATATTGGGATTCTCTGTTCCCACCTTTGTTGGGGAATGGATTCCCCACATTATAAAATACAAAAAAAAAAATATAAAAATAATAATAATTTATGAATGAGAAAAAAAAAGTTAGAAACTATTATACTAGGGCAACATAAATTAAAAACGTTTCTTTTTATTTTTACATTTTATATGTATTATTAAATTCAATATATAATATACTATGATGAATATAAAATTTGGCGATAGTCGTGGAACAGAGCTAGGAGGGACATAACAATATATTCATATGAAAAATAAATAATATATATTTTAAAGAGGGCATGTGTTAGTCGTGTTTTGAACACGGTGATGCCCCTGGGCACTAGCAGGTTGTACTTTGGCAACTAGCGGTTACTTGTTAGTGAAGAAAGTGAAATGAGAGATATCCAACCCCTAAAGTAGGCTAAAAAATTGCTCTCTGGTGGATTGTGATAGGCGTGCCATTACTAGTGATATTCTTCTAGTAGAAAGAAGGGATAAAATGGTGATAATGTTGTGAATGTATTGCACTCCTGTGATCTTAACCTCTAACCAATGCTAGATCTGTAATATTGGTCATAAAAGCTGGATTTCATCTGATCCCAAGTTCTGATAGAGTTAGGGGCCAAATTGGAATACCAAGTGAATGCTTGACTAGATAAGGAGCTACCAAATAACCTTAGTTTAAGTCAAGGATCTGATTCAATAAACACACATTGGGCAGAAAAGCACCCTACATGTTCAAAAGCAGAAGCATACAAGTCAACCCCATTAAACAAAGTGAAAGATGGTACCTTGAATCCTCTTGGAAACTTGACATCATCAATGTGAGGAGCATATGGCTTCTGATAAGTAGGCCTAGCTGGTCTTCGGACACCATTCTACCCATTTAAAACCATCTGCCTTAGTTCAGCCACTTCATTCTGCATAACCATATGTCGGTCATCGTTATTTGGTATGATGAGATTAGCATGTCCCATACGAGGAATTCTTTCTTCTATCTCCTCTTTAGAATCCTCAAGTAGATTCATAGGAGCAGGTGAGCTTTGTTCTTCAATTATATCATCCCTGTCATAGTTACCATTGTTGGCATAATTGGCGTTATTATTGGTCTGAACTG